GTAAAAAGTACGTTACGCCTTATTACTTAATATTTCTTTATTATGGTTATTATTATTATTAATTTGATTTTTCTGAGAAATATGTTTAAGGAGGACTACTTTTCGAAAATGCACATAACTTTTAATTATTAATATAAAATTAGTCCCCAAACAACTTTTGTTCATGTTATATCCCCAAAAAGTTTTTTTTTGTAAAATTTAAATCACTTCATATTTTTCAGGTCAATTCCATTCATTCTATAGAATGTTGGATTAAGACATCAACGGTGATATCGTTGAAAAAATAATCTATCCCTCTTTTTCTATTACTTTGACATTGCTAAAGATTATTAACCTATTGACAAAAACAATATATCCTACTATAGAAAAAGCTTAAAATGTAAGCACACCGGACAAAAAATTAGTCACCCTTAGAGAAATCATGAAAAACATCATTTAATCGCGTGTAACACCGCCTCTGGATATGATAACCACCTAGATTTGGTTAGGAAGGGAGTCCACAATGTTTTGCAGGTACGTTGAATCCAGTATAAGCCACTCGCTGAGGATTTGATCACGCAAATCCACCAAATTGCAAGGATGCTGATTTCCACGTTTTACCTGTTGTTCCAGCATATCCCACATATATTCAATGGGGTTCAAGTCGGGTGATTTTGCAGGGCAGTCGAGATGTAATTGAGTAGCTGAGTGTTCGTAAAACTAGTCACAGATTCTTCCACCCCGATGAACTTTGTTGTAGTCATCTTTATAAATAGGGGTATCGACAACACACTTTTCATGAAGATGTTGATTGAAAGGCAACATCTAATCATCCGGAATGTTCAAATAAACATGTTGGTTCATGTTAGTGGTCATATGAGCGAGGGGGTCCAATTCATAGTAAGGAAAACACCCCCAAAACATGACAGACCCACCCTCGGCCTGAACCTGACCTTGCACACAGTCAGTATGATATGCTTCATATGCTCTTAGTAGCACTCGACAAAGTGCGTCTTTTGAATGAAGGCAAAACCGTGATTCTTCAGACCATATTACATTTCGCCAATCAGCAACTGTCCATTTTCAGTGACTTCCAGCCCACTGAAGTCGCGCAGCTTAATGTGCCTGCGTTAGCAATGGCCTCTTACGAGGTGTTCAACTCCAAATGTCCATTGCATGCAGCTCATGTCGCAATGTTTCTCACTATCAGGTTAGGATGGACCTTCATATATAAACTGAAGCAATTCCTGTTGGGATTGGAAGCGATTTTGAATGACAAGTCGGGAAACACGTCTCTGGTCATTTTCATGCAGGATCTTTTCTGACCACAATTCTGATGTCGTCTTTCGTGACCACGTGTATTACACAACTGCTTGTAGACACGTTGAACAGTTCGCATCGAAACACCAACAAATCCAGAAACTTCATTCACTGTATGACCATGGGGACGGCCAAACACAATTGCCACTCTATCACATCCTTACACTTACCCATATTTACACACAATTTGCACTTCAAACAAAAATATCTCACTGATAGCTACTTGCCTTTGATCACGTTGAAGCAATGAGTACACAGTTGAGCACGTCACTGGACCACCGCGTCATTTAACGAGACCTAACGATTCATCACTGCTTGCTAACTAGGGTGACTAATTTTTTGTCCGGTGAGCTTACTAATTTTGATCTTTTCTGAAACTTTTAAGTTACAAAAGTAAATAAGAAAAATGACTAAAAATAAAGTTAAATGGTGCGATTTTAATAACTCAAGAAGAGTTATTTTTTTGTGTTTGTATGTGTGTTCCAAGTTTCTAGTTTTTCATCCATATATATATATATATATATATATATATATATACAGTATATAAGCAACAATTTCTCAATTTTAACGCTATTTTATGCACTAAGAAATATACGCATACTTTCTACCCCATATTCTAGGTCTATACTTATTTCCATTAGTATGGTATGCTATAATTTAACTCTTGACGTTGTTTGAAAATTGCAAAATAATCATATGGGGAGATATAGAACCATTTATATATACAGTATT